TTTGCGACGTTGTTCGACCCTTTATTCAGGCCATTTTTAGAGAACAAAGGAGTTTTTAATCCAGTTCCAAACCCTATATCCGAACATCCTTATTACATAACAAACTAAAACATGATTTTGTATCATTTGTCTTATTAGTTAATAAATTGTTTGCGATAAGTTTATATACATACTTAGTTGACAAACTTTTGAACTGAAGTAAAATCTTATACAAAAATTAAATTTTGCAAACAAATTATTTGTAAATTAAATATTTTACAGTGAAAATGATCAGAAATATAGTCATTTAAAACACGAAACGTAAAATGTTTTTTCGTTATTTTTTGTCTCAAAGACAATTCTGTCGGGTTATGGTTACGTGCACCGTAAAATGCGTTGACCATATTTGTTATTAATATATGTATCTTTCTTGAGAAATCTGGTCCGATCTGCAGATATGCTGCACCAATTCGTCCCTGTTGTCTGACGGCTCCCAATATACGCAATATTTCAATTTTCTTTCCTAATAAGTTTTGTAAGGAATGTCATTCCTCGGTGATCTTAAGTCATTTTCTGAGGTACTTACTGCCCGCTTATTGCTTTTCTTCTTGGTACTATTTTAAATTGCTCTCTTGCTCTTTAGTTCGCGGTTGGAAATGTTCAAAGCCCACCATTAGCACTGTACTTCGTCCATTTCCACAATTTCGCCAATCGTTCAATGGACAATTAAATGCCAATTTAAAACGTAACCCCAGTAAGCTATCCTGGGTTTTGAATCATTTTCCAATTCCTTTCCCTAAGAAACGGTTAACTGTCTGCAGTTCTCATTTTCTTATTACTGTATACTTATTGCGGTCAATTGTGTGATATTTTGGATTATTTGCACTGTATTTGTAATATGCAATATATCTTATGAGCACAATTATTAGTCATTGTAAAATTAAACTTACATATAATAATATTTTGTATTCTTGGGTTCAAGTCGACGACAAAGTAAACCGAATTTATTCACCCCTGGGAAACGACGGACTCGACTTTTTTGAGAGAGAGAGAGGAAAACGTCCACAGCAAAAAATAATTTTTTCAAACATTACTGTTTTCGACCAGAAATGCCTTGGAATTTTGTTGAAACAATTCTAACATTGTTATTATGTTGGTTTTTCTGAATGTCAAATTTCCAGCTGAGGCCAGTATTAAAAGAAATACACGAAAAAATCCCACTTAAACCAAATGGCATTAACCTCAAATCAATTTTTCATGAAAAACTTTTCAGAACGCATTTTGAGAAAAAACAAACAAAATGCATTGAAAAAAGCAATTTTGACAGGTTTACTTTTTCAAAAAAGTAACTGAAAAATTTTAGAAATTATAAAAACTGTTGAAAATTGAAAGTGACTGTAGCCCTATTTGAACAAGAAAGAGACATCGCTAGAAAAAACCGACAGAAAGTGTCAGTTTTCAACACATTCAAAAAGTGAATAATTTGGCAGGTTCTCGCAAACTTGCCAATGTTTCCCATAATTTTCCTTATTTTGGTTTATTTTATTTTATATAAATTCCACAAACTTATGCAAATACCACGCATTGAATGAATCAGCAACGTATTATCGTATTTAAAATAATAAATAAGTTTTCCAGTTTTTTTTTTGGGACAGAGAAGAAAAATTGCAATTTTTCCACTTTGCTATATGTATCTAGATTTATTTTTCGGATAATTCACTATAGAGCACAATAATATTTAATTTTTCTTCAGAGATTTTGAGTTTTACTCTTTCATCTTTGAAAAGATATTCCATTTCAGGCGACACCCTGTTAATGGTAAAATTTTGAGAAAAACTACAGTTTGCTCAGAAACTGATCGAGTAAGAAAAAAAAGTGTTTATAAAAGTTATTGGAAATACAGAAAGGAACACAAGCAAAACATTACACAGGGTGTTCCATTTAAAATAAGGAAGCTTGAAACAACTTAACAATTTATATTAAGGTATATATCCGGTATAGCCGGAAGTCGCATAATGTCGCTAATTCCCGAAACATTGTAATGGACGCTGACCGTGAGACACCCTGTATAAAGTCCAAGTTTTTACAAAGAATTAAATCCAGGTTCGACTAGCTTCGACTCTGGATTCTAAAATAAAGAAAGGCTTAATGACATCGAAATTTCTGATATCGACGGAAAACTATTAAACTTCTTGGTCTTTTAAAATAAAAATCCTCAGTATAATTCGGAGATCGATTTGCCTTTAAATCGGATATCGCTTTGTTTGCGTATAAACAGAAGGCAATAAATGCAATCGTGTTACTTTTCCTGACTGTACTTCAAAAAAAGGAATTTTTTTTTCGTTAATATGCAAGACTAATATTCCAGAATCAACACAAAATTTGGCATAGCAACAAAGAGAAAACACCGAAACGTATTCTGAAGAATGAAATCAACCCCCAGGTTCACAATCATGCAGTATTTATTAACTGTTGCAAACTGACTTATTATTGAAACTACGGCACAATAAAAAAATATATTTTTGGTGAAAAAGCATCGTAACATTCGGGACATGCTACGCTATTCCAATGTTATATTCCACATTGCTTATTCAGCTGCCACGCCAAACGGCTTTAAGTCGCGACTTCGCGAAACATACCGGCTACATCGGTGAACTAGACCGTAAAGCGTAACAACTAAAACATTGCCGCGAAATTAAGAAACCTAAAGCCTGAAAAGAACCGAGCAACTCCAGAACTGATTGTTAAAAGTAACAAGATAAGGTTATCCCGACAATTCATTTGGGACGTTGTATCCGCCGATTTGTCTTAATTATCCCGTTCAGAGGCGGAAACATTTAACTGTACCCTAGATACCCCCGTCTAGGTAAGCAGTAAAATACGACAATTCAAAATTATTTGTCACAAATTAGGGATAATTTATTATAAGCTATAAGACCTTCAATTATTGAATTGTGTTCAACATCGTACAGGCATTCAACACGAAATGCTTCCCGGATTTTCAACAACAAGCCATACTTTTAAGGCAAATTTGCAATTTTTCAAATAGAGCATCTATATTATCGCCCGGGGAAATCCTTGTGAGTTTTGATGTGGTTTCATTGTTCACAATGGTACCAATCAGGGAGGCAATGGAACTTGTTGCGAGAGAATT